GGGAGCAGGTGCACCGTGTAAAAATTGCCTGTTCTTGGGTAGAGAGAAGATTCCCTTCGGAAAGAGCCAACACTGTTTCCTGCAGTGCCCACAATTCTGCATGCACTGTGCAGGCAGGTTAGGAACTGTCCCTACCTCAAAGAGGTGACAGTATGAGAAGAGAAACAGATTAACCTTGTGATACTGCTGAGTTTAGTGCTCAGTGTGTGTGTGTGCGTGCGTGTGTGCGTGTGTTCCTAAGCTGACGTGATCTGAAAATATTGGGTTTTTTTTTATAAGTAGATGTGGTGTGATTTTCATTTAAAATCTACAAAATGATCAGGACACAGCTTAGCAGTAGATCATATAAACTGTATAAAATAGGATAAATGTGCATAATGCAAGGGAAAAGGGCTGCAATTTTTTGCAGCGCTGTGGGCAGCAACAGAGATACAGAAAATGGTAACATTTGACTCGGTTATTTCTAGACCCTTTTTGTCTGAGAAATGAAGCTAGCAGGGAAAGTTATTTATGTGGGTCTTCAAATTGATGGGTAAAAACATCTGCTCCCTTTCTTCTGTAGTGCAAAACGTATCAAATAACTCACTCAATCTATGGCTACACTGCCATTTTTTTCAGGAAGAAGATATGCAAATCACACTCGCATTTGCATATCTTCTTCTGTTTCATTTTGCAGAAGAGGTTTTGCTGCTATTTGGCCTTGTGTACAGGGCCAGACGCTGGAAAAAAAAAAAACCTCTTGCAAGACCCCTTATTCCTCATAAATCGAGATTTATAGGGTCTTGCAAAAGGGTCAAATGTCAGAAAAAAACCCTCTATCTACACACAGGGCCAAATAGCAGCAAAACCTCTTCCGCAAAAATAATTGGAAGAAGATATGCAAATGAGTGTGATTTGCATATCCTCGTCCGCAAAAAAAGGCAGTATAGCGGTAGCCTTAGGGAGAGGTGAACTGTCAGGTTGGCGATTTGACATAGTGAAGTGATATTTTTTTTTTCCAGTCATGCAGGTGCTGGGCCCAGACACTAGAGAATTCGAGGCCCATTTTGCTGAATTTTAGGCAAAAGAGAAAAATTACCTCAGACTCAGCAGAACAGAGACACAATCCTCCAAAGACCGGGGTCTTGTTGCTCTGAGACCTCAGCTTAGGTAGGAAATGTCCGTTGAAACAAGTTTCAACTGTTGGCAACTCTGGCTAGTCGGTGTGAAGCGCTTTGGTGGGTAGAGGTGCTGGATAGTGTGAGGGCTACCTGTGGTCACTAGTGGGCATCTCTAAAGCAGAGGTACGGCACGAGCCCAAGATCGGCTGGTGAAAGGACAAATGTTGATCTCTGTGGTCTGGGCAGGGCTCCTCGATTAGGTTCCTGTGCTTGGACTACGTGGAGTTATGGTCAGGACTCCAATGGCTAGGGCTCCCTCCCTCCAGAATTGCAACTAGGAGGCTGCTTGGAGTTTAGTGTTTACATTCCTATGGGGAGGGCTCCCCGCCCTCGGGTTAGGTTTCCCATGTGCAGGCCAGTTGGCGTGAGGGTTAGTGTTCCTATGGCTAGCGCGTCTGCCTTTGAGTTAGGGCTCTTGTTGGTAGGGCTCCCTGCCCAGAGGTTTGGGGTCCTATGAGCAGGCTGCACAGCATTAGGGTTAGGATTCTTATGGGTAGGGCTCTCTGGTTCGCTATAGCAGTAATGAACAAAGGAAACACTAAGTCTGTAACAGAAGCTCATCTGTCTGTTAAAAGTGGACAGACTTAATTATGGTCCAAAACTACACATTAAAGCAACACTAAACAGCTGTTTTAACTCCATCCCCCACCTCCCAATCAAAAGGTGACTACACCCCTGCTGCTTCTGTAATTCATAGAATCATAGCACTGGAAGGAATTCATGGTAGGACCAGCAAAATGCAGAACAATGTAGCACTTTAAAGACTAACAAGATGGTATATTAGATGATGAGCTTTCGTGGGCCAGACCCACTTCCTCAGATCAAATAGTGGAAGAAACTACAAAAATGATTGGCTTTAGAAAGCAGTTTCAGCGATGTCAGTGGATTTCCTTTGCAATGCTGTCCTGCTGGCGATGGCGCACATGAATTCCAGTATGCTGGCTTGTTAAATGCTCCTTCTGTTTGCAGTCATGGGGAAAGCTGAAGGCTCCGTGGCCCGGGAGGAGTGGCACGGGCATGTCACGGCTCTCTCTGTTGCCCCTGAGTTCCGCCGACTGGGTTTGGCTGCTAAATTGATGGAATTACTGGAGGAAATTTCAGAGAGGTGAGCACCATCTACAAATTCTAAGTAACTTTTTCTTGTGAAAAAACAGATCTTGTTGGCCCACTTAATCTGTGGTGTTCTAATTCCTTGTGGTTACAGAGAGCAAAGTTTAAATGGAAGCTGACAACTTTAAGGTGTTCCTTAGCTGTTGTGAAGGCCTGTTTGTGGGAATGAGGGGGAAGGGAGCAGGTGCACCGTGTAAAAATTGCCTGTTCTTGGGTAGAGAGAAGATTCCCTTCGGAAAGAGCCAACACTGTTTCCTGCAGTGCCCACAATTCTGCATGCACTGTGCAGGCAGGTTAGGAACTGTCCCTACCTCAAAGAGGTGACAGTATGAGAAGAGAAACAGATTAACCTTGTGATACTGCTGAGTTTAGTGCTCAGTGTGTGTGTGTGCGTGCGTGTGTGCGTGTGTTCCTAAGCTGACGTGATCTGAAAATATTGGGTTTTTTTTTATAAGTAGATGTGGTGTGATTTTCATTTAAAATCTACAAAATGATCAGGACACAGCTTAGCAGTAGATCATATAAACTGTATAAAATAGGATAAATGTGCATAATGCAAGGGAAAAGGGCTGCAATTTTTTGCAGCGCTGTGGGCAGCAACAGAGATACAGAAAATGGTAACATTTGACTCGGTTATTTCTAGACCCTTTTTGTCTGAGAAATGAAGCTAGCAGGGAAAGTTATTTATGTGGGTCTTCAAATTGATGGGTAAAAACATCTGCTCCCTTTCTTCTGTAGTGCAAAACGTATCAAATAACTCACTCAATCTATGGCTACACTGCCATTTTTTTCAGGAAGAAGATATGCAAATCACACTCGCATTTGCATATCTTCTTCTGTTTCATTTTGCAGAAGAGGTTTTGCTGCTATTTGGCCTTGTGTACAGGGCCAGACGCTGGAAAAAAAAAAAACCTCTTGCAAGACCCCTTATTCCTCATAAATCGAGATTTATAGGGTCTTGCAAAAGGGTCAAATGTCAGAAAAAAACCCTCTATCTACACACAGGGCCAAATAGCAGCAAAACCTCTTCCGCAAAAATAATTGGAAGAAGATATGCAAATGAGTGTGATTTGCATATCCTCGTCCGCAAAAAAAGGCAGTATAGCGGTAGCCTTAGGGAGAGGTGAACTGTCAGGTTGGCGATTTGACATAGTGAAGTGATATTTTTTTTTTCCAGTCATGCAGGTGCTGGGCCCAGACACTAGAGAATTCGAGGCCCATTTTGCTGAATTTTAGGCACTTTTCTCTTTCTCAAAAGAGAAAAATTACCTCAGACTCAGCAGAACAGAGACACAATCCTCCAAAGACCGGGGTCTTGTTGCTCTGAGACCTCAGCTTAGGTAGGAAATGTCCGTTGAAACAAGTTTCAACTGTTGGCAACTCTGGCTAGTCGGTGTGAAGCGCTTTGGTGGGTAGAGGTGCTGGATAGTGTGAGGGCTACCTGTGGTCACTAGTGGGCATCTCTAAAGCAGAGGTACGGCACGAGCCCAAGATCGGCTGGTGAAAGGACAAATGTTGATCTCTGTGGTCTGGGCAGGGCTCCTCGATTAGGTTCCTGTGCTTGGACTACGTGGAGTTATGGTCAGGACTCCAATGGCTAGGGCTCCCTCCCTCCAGAATTGCAACTAGGAGGCTGCTTGGAGTTTAGTGTTTACATTCCTATGGGGAGGGCTCCCCGCCCTCGGGTTAGGTTTCCCATGTGCAGGCCAGTTGGCGTGAGGGTTAGTGTTCCTATGGCTAGCGCGTCTGCCTTTGAGTTAGGGCTCTTGTTGGTAGGGCTCCCTGCCCAGAGGTTTGGGGTCCTATGAGCAGGCTGCACAGCATTAGGGTTAGGATTCTTATGGGTAGGGCTCTCTGCCTTTGGTGTAGTGTTCCAGTGTGTAGGGCCACATAATCTAGGATAAGGGCTCCTATAGAATCATAGAACACTAGAAGTGGAAGGGACCTCGAGAGATCATCAGGTCCAGTTCCCTGTCCTCACGGCAGGACCAAGCATTGTAGACCATCCCTGACAGATGTCTATCTAACCTGCTCTTAAATCTCTCCAGTGATGGAGAGTCCATAACCTCCCTAGGCAATTTATTCCAGTGTTGAATCAGTTAGGAAGTTTTTCCCCTAATGTCCTATGGGTAGGAAACTTGAATTTATGTTTGGGGTGTTATGGGCAGGCTAGTAAGAGTTAGGGTTTCTGTGAGTAAGGCTTGAGTTTTGGTTCACATGGGTAGGACTCCATGTGCTAGGATTAGGATTCCTATGGGTAGGGCTTCCTGCCCTAGTGTTTGGGTCCCTATGGGTAGAGCCCCTTCCATAGTGTTAGGATTTCTAGGGTAGCTTTCTCCACCCCAGGGTCCTAGTTCCTAGGGCACTTGGATCTAGGGTTAGGATTTAGGGTCTTATTGCCACTGAGTATACTCGTGTGTCTGAAACACCCCCTTGACTGATGTATTGATCTATCCAATTAGGGGGCTGCAGAGTACCAGCGCACTGTAGATTTTTGCTTTTTGGGATTTGGGTACTAATCCAGGATACAGAAAATGAGTTTAATAGTATTCATCTTAGTCCCTCAGAAAACACAATCGTCCACTCCTTTTCCCACGAATTCCTTGTAAGTCTTGAGCACAGGGCAGGGGAGTAGAGGGAAATGGCTCCAAAGAACAGTTGCATTTGTGATTTCTTGGATTAAGTTAACGGGAGATGCTCTTTTTTTTTTCTTTTAACCACGTGAAAAAGCTGAAACAAGCTCTCAAGGGAGCCTTCCGGCCTGCACAGTGAGCTGCTCTCAGAGGCAGCCCGAGCGTCTGGGAAATACACTTTCTCCTACAAACTGCTCATGAAAGGGACAAAGAGGCGCGAAAGGCATTGCTGCTGACTTCGCTTTCATGGCGGCCCCCAGCAACACCCAGCCAGGATCACCAAACAGCTGCAGAAATGAACCAACGGCCGCCAAAGTGTCTCAGTTGCAGAAGGCTGTCAAAGAAGGCTCAGTCGAGAGAGCCCGGCAGCTGTTGGAGGAAGGTGCAGATGTCAATGGCAGGGTAGAAGGTGGTTGGACACCCTTGCACACTGCGGTACAGGCTAATCGGGAGGAGATGGTTCACCTTCTTCTTGAGCATGGTGCTGAGCCATGTGCTAGAAAGGACAACGGTGCCACTCCCTTTATTATCGCAGGCATAGTGGGGAATGTGAACCTTTTGCAGCTCTTCCTTTCCAAGGGGTCGGAAATTGATGAGACTGATAACAACGGCTTCACCGCCTTTATGGAGGCGGCTTATTACGGGAAGCAGGAGGCCTTGAAGTTCTTGTATGAGACTTTCTCAGGTGAGAAAGAGAGATATGTGAATTTGGGCCGGGTGGTCAGTACACAGCAAAGACAAGTGCACAAAGGTGGGGAAACGGCCCTGATGGATGCTGCCAGGAAAGGTCACATCTCAGCTGTGCAAACCCTCGTGGAGCACATGGGGGCCAGTGTGCGTACCTGTGGCCTTACAGCTGCCTCAGAAGAGGAACACCATTCTTAAACAAAACAAGACAGGACCGATTGTTTCCTATCTGCTGGACTGTGGCGCTGATGTTACCGGAAGAGATGAAAATGGAAAGACTTCACTCATCTTGGCAGCAGAGAGGCAAAGCCTGGAGTTGGTGGACTTGCTCCTGAGGACAGGCCAAGTTGACATTAATGCCATGGGCCACGATGGCAAAACCGCGCTGAAGGTAGCTGTGGAATACGACCATGAGGAAATCGCAAGGCTGTTATGTGAGAACGGAGCCAGGGTAGATGGCAGCAATGTCGAGGTGGCCAAACTGAACTACAACAATGAAATGGCAGCCCTGCTGCTCAAATTCGGTGACATGGCTATTAATAGTCGGCCTCCTAAAGAATGGGAACCCATCAGCAAACGCTGGGGAGAGCAGCTACGGCGTCTCCACAGTATCAATTCCCCTCAGATCGGAAAACTCAACGTCCAGTTTGACGAGTATTACCGCATTGAGAGCACCTCGGAAGGAGGCATCTACCTAGGGTTCCATGCAGGGGCAGAGGTGGCCGTGAAGAGGTTCCTTCTGGGCAGCGAGAAGGCTAAGCGAGAAGCCACGTGTCTCCGTCACAGCCTTAGCAACAGGCATATGGTGAAACTTCATGGGACTGAAACTCGTGACAACTGCCAGCTCTTCTGCCTCTCCCTCTGTGAGAGGAACCTTGAGGATCATCTGAGCAACGCCAAACGGGCAGTGAATTGTCACCACATCCTCCAGACGCTCTTGGAAGCAGTGAGAGATCTGCACTCCTTGGAATTAGGCCACGGAGACCTGCACCCACGAAACATTTTGATAGGTTCGTGTGTCTCCCATTCCGTTCCATTTAATCCTGCAGCCCCGCAGCGTGAGAAGTGCTAGAAAGCAGAGTAGTATAGGAGATTCAAACCTGGTGTGTATGTTTCACAACAAGGATGCTATTGTGTATGGCTACGTCTACGCTGGCCCCTTTTTCGGGAGGGGCATGCTAATTTTGAAAGTGGGAATAGGGAAATCCGCGGGGGATTTAAATATCCCTCGCGGGATTTAAATAAAACCGTCCGCCGCTTTTTTTCCGGCTTGGGGAAAAGCCGGAAAAAAGTGTCTAGACTGGCCCGATCCTCCGGAATAAAGCCCTATTCCGGAGGATCTCTTATTCCTACTTCAAAGTAGGACTTCCCCTACGGATTTCCCTATTCCCACTTTCAAAATTAGCATGCCCCTTCCAAAAAAGGGGCCAGTGTAGACGTAGCCTTTGTGTACAAGGATGCTATGGAATGTATATGTGTGTGAGACAAAGATACTGTGTGTGTCAGACAGACAAAAGGAGGGAGGAAACAAAGCCTGCAATCTAGCAGCTTTATCATCATATGGAGGGACCGGGACACAAAGCGTTAATTCAGCCATACAGGAGGGCTGTGTCTAGACTGGCAAGTTTTTCCGGAAAATCAGCCGCTTTTCTGGAAAAACTTGCCAGCTGTCTACACTGGCCACTTGAATTTCGGGAAAAGCACTGACGCTCTCATGTAAAATCATCAGTGCTTTTCTGGAAAAACTATGCTGCTCCCGTTTGGGCAAAAGTCTTTTTCCGAAAGACTTTTGCGCAAAAGGGCCAGTGTAGACAGCACAGTACTGTTTTCTGCAAAAAAGCCCCAATTGTGAAAAAGACAATCGGGGCTTTTTTGCGGAAAACTGCGTCTAGATTGTCCACGGACGCTTTTCCGCAAAAAGTGCTTTTGTGGAAAACTTTTCCATTAAAAGCATTTCCGGAAAATCATGCCAGTGTAGATGTAGCCATGGCGAATGGATGAAGAACTGTCCTGTGAGGAGCACGATGGAACACAGCACAAGAGCTGTTCATTTCCTATTAACATATCCTGTTGCTTTGCTAGATGCGGATGATAAAGTTCTCCTTGCAGATTTTGATCAGAGTAGCAGTTTTGCTGAAGGTCAAAGGGAACTTATAATCAAAGAAGACTTGGAGGTACTTTTCCTTAATACCAATATTGTGTTTACAGTTTTTCAACTTTCTGCCCTTTCTCTTCTGTTTTGAACTAGTCTTATTCTTTTTTTTTATTTTTGTTTTTAAACTTTGTTGGTGGGGAGATCTTGGCCTTCTCTGCTCATACAAGAAAAGCATGGGATTATGCCTTTTAAGACAAGGGATTAGCTAACATTTGGGGTCCTGTGGGTTGGTACTGTTAAGAGAAGAAATAAATTAGGGAGCCAGGTATTTCTTTGATGCAGTCCTGTTTATTTACAAAGAATGCACATGACGTCTAGTTTCCCTGAACACCAAAGAAATCAACTGACAGTGTCTTTTGCCACAGTCCCAAGCCTCATTCCAAACCAGCGCTCTACCCAAAAGTGCTCTCTTATCTTTCATTGGTGGCAGGCTCTAAGTAGAGTTGTTAGCGACTAGTCGACAATCCGACAAACAAAAGCTTATTGGATAGTCGACTAGTCCCTCGACTAGTCGCTTCCCCCCGCCCCGGTACCAGGAGCTGGTGCTGGGGAGAGTTGGCTTAAAAACCAGTTCCCCTTCAGCACCATCTCCGTAGGGGGTAAGAGGTTAGTTGGGACCGGGCTGATAGGTGCCAACAGGCTCTTAATACATGTAAAGGGCTAACGCGCAGCAGGAGGGATCCAGCGTGAGCCGGGACAGGTGATTCCCAGTTCATGCAGGGTCCCCCCCCACTGCTCACCAGCCTTTTAAATGTATTAAGAGCCTGTCGGCAACCACAGCACAGCTTAGAGCTGGGGATGTAAATTCAGTTTAATCAACTAATCAATGGATTTTCCATTGACTAGTCGATAAGCAGGGGAGCCGCAGCAGGGTTAGCTCCTGGCCCGGGAGCTAACCTAGCTGCGGCTCTGCCTTTTAAACGTATTAAGAGCCTGTCTGCTATTAATAGATTTAAAAGGCCGGTGAGCAGCAGGGGAGAGGGGGGACCCTGTGCGAGCCGGAAATCAGCTGTCCTGGCTCGCGCTGGGTCTCTCCTGCTGCGCTTTAGCCTTTAAAATGTATTAAGAGCCATTAATACATTTAAAAGGCAGAGCCCCAGTGGGGTTAGCTCCCAGGCTGGGAGCTAACCCCTCTGTGTCTCCCCCGTTTATCGACTAATCAACTAGTCGATGGAAAATCCATTGATTAGTTGATTCAACTAAATTGAACATCCCTAGCTCTATGCTGTGCCTTGGTTGTCTTCTCTGTCCGTGTCTGTGGGGTTTGCCCCCACTCCTCACAAGTCCATCTTCAACAAACAATACCCCTCAAAACATCTTTCTTCATGTAGAGCAGAGGCAAAGCAGTTTATCCAACTCCTAAAGGGCACGCCTACACTGCACGGAAGATCGACGCTGCCGTGGTCTTCCCGAGTTCGATTTAGCAGGTCTAGTATAGACCCCCTAGCTTGAACTCAAAGGGCACCCCCGTCGGTGCTGGTACTCCTGCTCCTCACAAAGCGCACAGGAAGCCAATGAGAGCGTTTGCTTCCCTCCGCTTCCTGCTATGTGGATGATAACTTACGTAGCTGGAGTTGTGTATCTTATTTGGACCTTCTCCTGCAGTGTAGACCAAGCCAAAGAGAAAATAACATTTCATTAAAAAAAAAACCCAGTGAAGGTTGCTAAGAATGAAGTATTTATTTAATGACGACATCAATTACTACAGCAAAATCTAAGCCTTTAACAGCTAGGAAATGAATAGTTAAAACATTATAATTTTTACAGCCACTCAAACATAAGCACATTCTTCTTCCTTAGTCCAAAGAAATGTGTGTTTCATTACAACCCAACACTCTTAACTACAACCCAACACTCTTAACCTTGATCCATGGAGTCCATTCTTTTACAGGTAGCATTTTTTTTAAAAGCCCAACAACCTTAAGCTTAGTATCTAAAGCAGCGTCTTTGAAGGGATACTGTCAAGTGGAGGATGTTATCAATTCATAGATCTATTTTTGGTAAAGATCCTGTACCTGCTAGCTCTTGAGAATAGCAGAACAAAGAGCATTTGGCCCATGGAATGAATATAGAACTTCATCTATGAACATTATGAGCTCAGTCCTCCTCCTTCTGAACTCCAGGGGAGCAGGATCAGACCCTGTATTCTCTCTTGCCGCCGCGCTAATTTTAGACATTGGTTTCTCTCTGCTGGAAGTGAAATATTCTGATGCTTGCTCTGCTGCTCAGGCACTTGGAAGGCTGGTCCCGTATGTTGTATCAAAGGGTGAAGTCCCTTTTGATGGACCTGATGGAGAGGATGTGGCAGCAAGATGTCCGATGGATGTGCCAGGTCACCTGGAGATTAAAGATCTCATAAGAAGTTTGACCTCCCCCAATGGAGGAAACTCAGCTCAGTTAGGAGACTTGATCCACCATCCCTTTTTCTGGAGCCGGGAGAGGTAGGTATCACTAACAATAATTCCAAGATCTCAGACAATTAGCTGCAATGCTCCTGCTGTAGCTCTGGGCTAATAAATGTGCTACAGCAAGCTTGAAGCTCTTCCCTTCCTCTTTCAATTCCAAAGCAGGTTTGAGTTCCTTGCGGAGGTTGGGAATAATCCAGACATCGAAAAAAACATAACGGAGAGCCGGATTGTGAAAGCTTTGAATTGCAATGAGTCAAAGCACCTCTCAGGTGTTGCCCAGTGGACTAAGAAGGTACGCTAATTCTGTAGTGAGAATAATCCTCCAAATAGATTTCCCACTGTGTCCTGTTGTCTCTATCTTTGCTGTGTCAAGTAAAGATTTCAGGGCTAGGATCATTGCCAGTTTGTGCTTATCCAGCACCCAGCAAACTGCTGGCATTTAAATAATAAAATAAGTAACAATAGGCAATGTGTACTAGGAAAGGTTTCCCTTAAGACTTATAGGCTGGGCCCTGAGGTTTTCTGTACATGGGCCGCAGATGTCTCAGCCCAGATTTCTTACTCTGGATCAAGATTAATGTCCTTTTCTCTCTTCTTGGTAGCTTCATGGTCCTTTCTGCTTGGTGATTGGAATATTACTTATATTCAGTCTTTTCTCAGTTTGCTCATGTTCTGTGTTCACTGTTTTGTCAAAAACAGGATACCTGTTGCTGGTGGCATGGTTGAAGGAATCCACAAATGCTTTTTATTACTTAGCCAGTCCATTGCAAAGTGAAATGGAGGCCCTCTTGTCAAAACCTATTTGATTTAGTGATCAAAAGAAGCTAACAGTCAACCAAGGGACTGGGCAGAATGAAATTGGCGTGTCCTCAAAGCATCGTCTAATATACATACTTTTCCAGTGCACTGATGCTAAATAATTTTGGTATCCATGGTTTCCTATACAAATGGAATCTGAATTGAGTTGCCAAAGTGCTAATATATTTTTGATATTTAAACTATTCTTTAGATATTTTCTGCCTAAGAAAATACATTGTGCTTTCTCGGATATCGCCATTTCGTATTTTGAATATCTGAAAGAGTCATCAGTGTTGTACCTTTTCAAGTATATTTTATGATGGTTTTTCAGTCCCAACCTGCTTCTCTTCCCCCACATTTGCGTTATCATGCAGGTTGCACACTTAAGCAATCAGGAAATGACACAATTGAGGTTACACATGTATTGCTAATTATTATTTACGTCTGTATTAAAGTAATGCCTAAGGCTCTGTCATGTTAGGTGTTGCATGAATGTAAAGTAAATTGATGGAAGAGAGATTCAGAGGGAGCCTGCCACACAGGGAGTTTGCTGGAAACTTGAATCCAGAACCAGATCTCCCAAGTCCCAATCCAGCGCTTGAACATAAAACCATCCTTCCTCTCACTCCACCTCCTTCTATATACTTCAAGGTCTGTACTGAGTAGGCTCCACAGGGCCAGGTCCAATGCCTGTTGATGTCAAAGGGAGTCTTTCCATAGGAGTAGGGGCTGGTTGGATCAAGCCCTCCCAGCACACCGTACACAAGATGCACCTTTCAAGGGGAAACACTGTGGTGTAAGTTGAGAAATAGTATGTCACGTAATTAGAATCGGAGTCCAATTCTGGACTCTGCTACATGAATTTAGTCCTGAGTATTATGCACTGTGTATAAGGGGAGTTACATGTAGGGTTACCAGGTAGACCCCCCCCAAAAAACCAGACACACTTGATCGTGGGCAGGGGGGCGGGCAGAGCTGGCCAGGAGGAAGGGGGGGGCAGGAAGCAGAGCTGGGGAAGGTCGGGGGCAGTGGGGCTGGATGGGGGGAGAGGGGGGCCGGGGGGAGGGGGGGGGGGGGGGGGGGGGAGGAGGAGTAACTCCATACTTCCAGAAAGGACAGGGCCTCGAGCAAAAGGGGCAGGGCTAGGACAGCCAGTCATCCCTATCCCCAGCTGGCCCTCTGAGCTGCTTGGAGCGCATGGCATGGGGCTCTGGCAGCAATTTAAAGAGTGAGATGCTCTGGGTGCTACTGTTGCCACTAATCCTGGGCACTTTAGAAGTTCTGGGCCCCAAACAATTGCCCATTCAGGCTCCTCCCCCTCTCACTCCAGCAGCCCAGTCAGTATCCATCTGTAAAGTGAGGATAATAGCATTTCCCAGCTCACAGGACATGTTGTGAGGATAAATACATTACAGATCACGAGGCACTCCGATACTATGGTAATGGAGATCATGGAAGTATAATAGATAGAGTTCTGTCCATATTACACATCCGCCTCCTACAGCCTTCTTCGGAGAGGGAACGTTTGTTGTCATTAGGAAAGCCTGTCCCAGAGGAAATGTTTCTGTGTGTTTTAAAGCAGTTTCACTGACTCCTGTACTTGAAACAGTTTCAATTTCCCTAGTGCAAAGCTTGGGAAAAGTTTTTAGCTTTGTTCTGCACCAGAGCCCTGGTGATGGAATGAATGAATGACAGCTTGCTAGACTTCTTTATGAGGGGAGTTCCTGGTGGATGGCAGTCAGACTGCAAGTTTTGCAGAGTTCAGACTTATGTGTGGCTTGAATTTGGTCAATAACCATGCACTCTCTGAGGCCTTGGTGTAAGTTGCTTCGTGTGAGCTGCCCTCTGTAACACTTCAAATAGTCTCTGTACAGACATAACGGTTTGCCTGCATAATGAAGCTTGCAGCATTGGGGCCTCGGTGCATAACATAGATGTGTATGCTTCCCAAGCAACTGGGCTAGCCATGCCCCCATACAGGGCCACATGCCTGCGTTTAGAACTCTGTGAAGCGTGGCTAAAACCCCCTGTACTTGTGATTTCCAGACCCTGCAAACTCTGCTGGAACAAAACCCACAAGTCAAAGAAATATTTCTCTTTGCATAGATCTGTTTTCATTTAGATAATTTCCAACTTTCCTTCATCTAGCCCTTTTGGTGCTAGGGGGTTGCAGTTTGAGGTTTTTTTTTTAAATGGGGAAGTTAAAATTTTTTTTTTTAGGTGTTCTTAACAGTTGGGCTGTTTTTGCTCGTACTCTGAGAAAAAGCACAACCAGCCCAATTTCTCTGCAGACACATGCTGAACCTGGAAAATTTCAGATGAAAATATTTGGAGAGCTCGGGGGGTATGTCTACACTGCATCCCTAGTTCGAACTAGGGATGCAGTGTAGTCGTACCCTGAGGGACTGGCAGTGAGGGGTTACAATGGAAACTATTATACAGCCGTAATGATTGCTCTCTATAAAACAGGTGTGGCCAGTTATGTTGAAAAATCTAAGCAATAGCGGGATAGTGCCTGTGTTTCCTGTATGGGAGATTACAGCAGCCAGGGGTGCGATAGAGAAGATTTTCTGTGGTATGGGATCCTCATGGAGTGACTAATCTCGGGGCCATTTTTCAGATTGATCAAAGTGTCCTAAAAAACATGAACCAGAAAAGGAAATACACCTATCAAGACAGTGTCACTGACCTTTTGAGGTTCATCAGAAACATAAGGGCACACTATGATGCAAAACCACAATGGTAAGTGGTCGCCCTAAGATTGATGTCGCAGATGAAGATAGTTTGGGGAGACTGCGAGGGGTGCTGAGTAGAAGAGGGGTCCCTTTTCCACCCCCAACATTATAAAAAACCTACAACACAACAAGTGTATTTTGCAACCAGATTTTGAAAGCTAGTGGCCAAATCCATCTTCCTTCCCCAGCAAAGTGGTGGGTTTTTCTCCCGGGGCAGGAGAACAAGGGTGACAAAGGAAGAAACCACAGAACAAGGAGAGCACTGCAGCTTAGTTTGTTTCCCTGAAATTCTTGTGAAACTGGCATCAGCAAAAAGTGGGAATCTACTTCTTTGATACTTCGCAGTGAGCCGGGGTGCTCCACCTAACCTCCTCTATTGTTCTGTTCTAGGTTCAAGGAAATAATCCAGAACCCATCAAGGTATTTTGTTGACCAGTTTCCACGTCTGACACTTTACGTCTATGAGTGTTTGCGCCATGCGGACGGAGGTTGGTGGGATTTAATGACCTGTTAGCTAAATAGCTCCATCTTGGGAACTCAGATTTAATCCGATGCTTTTCACAACTGAATCACACATGCAAGCTCTGCCAGTCGGATTCAGAATGGAGGGGAGACCTCCATCGGCCCCAAGGCGGGTGTATCTGTATGAAAACCCTCAATTCCCTGCATCGTTCCTTTGCTGTTCCAGATGCACTCCCCTCAAGCCATGTGGCGCCTGAACTGGGGATATCCAGAGCTACATGAAGGGGTTGCTACAGCTTGAGCTAAAGCGCCCTACCTGAGGCTGTAACAGACTCTTACCCTCTGCGGATCAGGCAGAGGAGGGGACCTGCACCACCCATCAGATTACACCTGCCCCACAGAGTTCAGGGGCACCCAAGCACCTGGGCTCCCCATAGACTAACTCTCATGTAGCTGATCCAAGGGGCATTGGGAACTTCTTGGGTGGAGCCTGTTTACCACAAAGGTCTAAGCTAACAGGATGTAAATCGGGGTGGGCAAACTTTTTGGTCTGACGACCACATTCTCGGGATGGAAACTGTGTGGAGGGTCATGAATGCTGACAGAATTGGTGGGTGAGGTGCTGGAGGGGGTGAGGGCTCTGACTATGGGTGCAAGTTGTGGGATGAGGCCAGAAATGAGGGGTTGAGGGTGCGCCAAACAGACAGAAGGGATTGAGGAGCAGGAGGGGCTCTCAGCTGGGGATTGGCATGCACAGGTGGGTGAGGGCTCTGGCTGGGGGTGCAGGCACTAGAATCAGGCTGGGGATGGGAGATTTGGGGTGCAGGAGGATGCGCCAGGCTAGGATCAAAGGGTTTGAAGGGTGGGAGGGGGATCAGAGCTGGGGCAAGGAGCTGGAGCTTGGGGTGGGGGAGTTCCAGTGTGCAGGAGTCAGGTGGCTCTTACCTGAAGAGGTTCTAGCAGCCCTCCCCCACCCCCCATCTCCCACCTGGAAGCAGGGCTATGTGGCTCTGTGTTGCCCCACTTGCAGGCACCGCCCCCACAGCTCCCATTGGCTGCCATTCCTGGCCAATGGGAGCTGTAGGGCTGGCATTTCAGGAATGGGAATTGTGTGGAGTCCCCTGGCTGCCTCTGCTTCTGGGAGCTGCACAGACGCTGCATGTGCAGCAAGGCAAGCACCTGCCCCCGTGCTCTGGATGGATCTCAAGGGCTGGATTAAAAGGTCCAACTGGCCAGTTTGGCCCCCAGGCTGTAACTTCCTCCCACCCCTCTGGTGTAAATGTTTTAGGCCCAGAAGGTCTCTAGCATCTCCAAAGGGGAAGAGTGAGAACAGGAGCTGGGATTCACAGCCCCATGTGGTGTGGTTGGCCTGAAGGCACAGGAGGCTGCCCTGCTATTGGTGGAGAGAGGCAGACAGAAGGGCACTAGGATACGTCTAGTGAACAGAACTTTTTATTCTCTGCGGAGCAGAAAGTTACTTTGTGCGTGCTGCCCGATTTGCTTGAATCTCAAGAACTTTTCACCCATTGCAACGTCCAAGCACGGGGCTTCCTGCTGTCTCTGTGGAGGGGAAAGACACTTGACCTCACATGCTGCAATGACCTCTGGGCCGTTAGCGAGCACAAAGGACAGTGGGGTTGGATACAGCTCCCCTCGGCTTCGGCTACACTAGGTTTGCTGTCCCTGCATTTGTCTAGGCAGGCAAAGAGGCTTTAAACTGAAAGGTTAGCAGAGATGTGACATGCCCAGGCCTCCAGCAGTCATAAGCTCCCCCAACACCAATGGCAGCTATTGCCTGTCCCACTGGGGCATACTCCCCAGGGTAGACAAGGCCTTAGAGACCAGATTCTCTTGCATGGTTGCTTCAAAGGCACAGAGGGGTCCTTTTTACTTTGTGTAAAGTTGTTGGAACAGCTCGCTCTGGGAACCGGGACAAGAGCATTACACCTGGGGAATCAATACGCCCCAGCAGCCAACCTGTTAATTATTATGTAGCTGTGTTAGGGAAGCACTTAGCAGCCCCAGTCATGGAGCATGGCACTAGGCGTTGGACAAACAGAACCAAAGGACAGCCCAGCCCCAAAGAGTTTAGAATCTCCAGATGAGGCAACAGGCGGAGACAGACAGACAAGGGAGCATATGGGAACAATTGTCTGAGTAGATTATACTGTCGCTGGCTGGGGGAAGGGGTGCAACACCCAAACAGAGCAATCAGTGGGCTGTCAGTGGATGTCCTGTTTGTTCGTGGATTTCCTCGGAGGGCATCAGCCAAATGCACAGGGAGATGAAGAGGGGTTGTGGGGGACCAGGCAGGGAAGGCGTGTAGAAGAGGGGAAGGTGCGGTGAAGGTTCTGGGGAGGGTAGATTGGAGCAAACATCTGGTCAGGGCAGAGCAGGGAAAGTCAGCGCTGGCCAGCGATTAAAGATCATGATCGAAGGCAGAAAATGCCATTGTTGCCCACAGCCAGGGACTACAAGCACAGGTGTTGTGCAGCCGCACAGGTCTGCCAAAGCACCTACTGCTTGAACGGCCGCAACCCGTGATATTTTAGTACAGACTTCCCACTGCACCCCAGCCTCTGCAGCACTGGCCTGACCTGCATCCCTGCCGCACCTTCAGAGCCAGCCTGCCGGGGGAGAGGGAGTGTCCGCTGCTCTCACACAAACACGGGGGTGGATTAGGGTGACTTTTTAGGAACCTCCAGAAGCTGTTGCCTGCAGGGAAAAGAAATAAGAATGTCAGGGAATGCCGGAGCAGGCGGGGGAGCAGGTGGGTGCTCACCCTGTGCTAGACAAATGCACTGGAGTGTCAACCAAGCGGGGAGACCCACAATCCCGTCCCCCCCGCGGGCGACTGATGCAAATGCTGTGATGGAGACAGTCGTTTCCTCAAAGCAGAACAAGTTTCCGTCCCACCAACTCCTGCTGGGCCTGGGTTCGTGGGCATGTGTCCCGACAGGCAATTTATCAGCCCCTCCCGACTCTGCCGTGGCTGTCTAGCGATGACCTAGGCTTAGTCCTACGTTCGCCTTTGGAGTTGGATTTCAGAGAGGTCCCAGGGCTCTCGGCTGGAAGCAGCGAAAGGGAAAGCCAGACTAGCAGGGAAGCTATCCCCAGGGCGAGGTCTCTCGGGCGGGGCATAACAAGCCCTCTTCTGTGGGCCGTTTGGGACTGAGCCGGACAAAGCGCTGGAGAGCAGACAGTCTATCCATCGCAGCAGGGTGAGGGTCTTGCGAGGATTTAACCTCCCGACGCCTGCGGGGGGGACGTGTTGTGAGGCCCACTCTTTACAGGAGGCAAAACGAGGCCCAGAGAGAGTGGTTAATTCACAGAAAGCCTGCGGCAGAGCCAGGAATGGAAGCAGGATGCCTGGTTCCCAGCCCAGTGCTTTACTCCCCAGATGATCCTTTCTCTGTGGGGAACGATCCCCACAGGGATGAATTAGATGGATGCTGCGGCTGACGCGGGTGCCAAGCGTTAGGCCCCAAACCGCACACATCGGAATCTAATTCGCTGCACCATCTGTGCAAGGGGAGAGAGGGGCACACACTCGGTTGCCCCCTTATTGCTTAGTCATCGTCAGCCAGAGATACTTTCCTCCTCTGTGGCGGAGGTGGGCCGGCGGGGGACAGGGAGCTGGCGCTCTCCCCATAATGTGTGCTCAGCCTGGGAAGCGAGTGATTTGCCTTCTCGTGCTGGGCGCTCGCACTGGGTCTGGGCTGAAGGAGAGGAGGTGTCTGGGTCGCTACCTACCCGATCTGTTGGGTCACGCAGATGCCTGACAGGGGCTTTTTCCAGATGAGGCTTCCAGATGAAGCTGAGAGGAAACCCAGGAGAAGGCTCCGTCATGTACTGCAAATCACCTGGCAGGTCCCCTCCCCCCAACCAACCAGTGACATTTGATCATCTAAGCAGAGGCGCCAACTTTGAAAAGTTCCCAGGGGTGCCCCAGACCCTGCCTCCACTCCATCTGTCCCCTCCCCCAGAGTGCCAAGTCCTTGCTCCTCGCCCCTCCCCCTGCAGCCTCCCAAATGCCACACAACAGCTGACTGACGGGCGAGAGGCAGGGGAAGGTGCTGGTTGGTGGGTCCGTCAGGAGGCACTGGGAAGGGGGAAGCTAATAGGGGGGTGGCCGGTGAGTGTTCCAGCCCCGGAGCATGTATGGAGTCTGCACCAATGCATCTAAGCATCTTGTCTCCTGCACTGAAAGGAAGGTGAACTCAAGAGACATAGCACTGCTCACTTCTCCTCCTGGTAAATAGATCAGCTGAGGGGGAGCGGGGGCAGGGGTGGGCGTGAGGCTCCCAAAGTGTCCTGACAGCACCTACACAGGTGTGGGGGACAGGAGAAACTCTAGAGACAGGAGAGCTTGGTTCCCAGGTCAGAGCGCCTCAGGGGCAAAGGGACTTACACTTTTGCTCTGCGGAAGACTCCCCTTCCTCCCGAGGCTGAGGTAGCAGCAGCTGGATCCCCTTGAGCAGCGTGAACCTAATGATCGGGTGGTCCTCTATTGAAAGAGGAGACAAAACAATACACTGCCAGTGACTGCTCCGGCAATGGGAACTTCTTCCAATGCTCTGCCACCCAGCTGTTCCCACACCGATTCGCAGGTCTCCGCAGCTCCTGGATGCGCAGCTGGGGATGTATCCCTCTCCCCTTCCCATAGTCAATGACCCTCGGCACAAGGAAGAAGGCAGCGGCTCAGAGTAATCCAGCAAGCGTCTCATTCGTTGATATTGTGGCCCAATAATGGGCAACCTGCGGCCCTTCAGGGCTTTGTGTGTGGCCTGTGAGCCCATGTGCAGGGTTACCAGATTCCGCTGGTTTTTGTCTGCATAGGGGTTTTTTTCCTACTGATGTTCCTAAAGGGACATACACATAAAACACGGGCACGGGAAGGGAAGTGCGTGTTGAGTGCACACAGTGGGAGCTGTGCACTCCCTCTGCAGCCGATCAAAGTGTTGCTACGGTTCAGTCGGGGACCCCCTGCAAGTTTTAGGTCCGCAAGCGCCATTCGGCACAGCTACCCTATTCTGGGAGACTGTCTTAGTTGTGACAATCTTGCAGCCCATGGAGATGGAGGGCCACTCACTAGCCCAAGGGTGGGTAAAAGGGACTCCGCGGGCCAGATCTGGCCCACCAACTGGGTTGATCCAGCCCACGGAGGTCCTGCTGCTCCCCACGCCCAGGTCAATTAGGGCCTGGGGGCAAAGGAAAGTGCATGAAGTTTCCTCCGCCCTCCCAGGAGTGCGCGGCTCTTAGAAGCACCATGCACTCCTGGCACGGAGAGAGGAGACTTCGCGTGCTTCTCCACCCCCAAGCCCTGATTGACCTGGAGGCGGGGGGCACGCAGAGTTTCCTCCATCCTGCCCCCGCCATGCAAGGAGCATGCAGCGCTTAGGAACACCATATGCGCTCCTTCACCCCCAAGCCCTGATTGGTCTGGGCGCAGAACGGGGAGCGCGCCAAGTCTCCTCTCTCCGCCTCGAGGGAACCTCTTGGGAGGGGGAGAAGACTTCACGCACTCCCCCAATCATGGTCTGTGGGTGGGGAAGCAGGGAAATATCCTGGCCCCTCCCCTTCCGCTTGAGGCTCCGCCCCTTCCGGTGCAGCCTGGGGCCACTTCAAAAATTTCTGAAAGTGGCCTTCGGCAAAAAATGATTGCCCACCCCTGCACTAGCCTCAGTTGCCCGTCGTTGTTGTAGTCTGTTTTCCTGGCGCGTTAGGCAAGGTCAATAACACAAGATGAGGACAAACTGCCACATGCCCTAGGATCTGCTGCTTCAATGGCAATCCACGAGGGTAGGAGCCACTGATCATCCCATGATACAGGTCTTGAAGGACAGGAGCCAGGGCCTTGTGTTTAGTCCAGTGTTGTTCAAGGTGGTTTGTTTGAGTATGTGAATGGAGGGAGGTGGTACACAAAGCCGTGAAGGCGCATACAGCTTTACACACAGCTGCACGGTTTAATCCTTTGCCAGCCACGCACAGCCACACATCCATAGTCCGACACATGCATGCAGCCAGCCCGCCGGGGTGTGCACAAGAAGGCTGTGTCTACACTGGCAAGTTATTCTGGAAAACCAGCCGCTTTTCCGGAAAAACTTGCCAGCTGTCTACACTGGCCACTTGAATTTCCGGAAAAGCACTGATGATCCAATGTAAAATCATCAGTGCTTTTCCGGAAAAACTATGCTGCTCCCGTTCGGGCAAAAGTCTTTTTCCAGAAAACTGTTCCGGAAAAGGGCCAGTGTAGACAGCATAGTAGTGTTTTCCGCAAAAAAGCCCCGATCGCGAAAATGACGATGGGGGCTTTTTTGCGGAAAAGCGCGTCAAGATTGGCCACAGACGCTTTTCCGGAAAAAGTGCTTTTCCAGAAAAGCGTCCTGCCAATCTAGACGCGCTTTTCCAAAAATGCTTTTAACAGAA